GTCCAATGGTCACTGCTGCTTTATTGGTCCGTATACGTATTTGATTCCCAGAACGTTCAGTTGAGGTTGATTTCTAATTCAGATTACACAGTGTGAAGGAGATGGAATTTAGCCATATTTCAAACGGCTATGGAACATATAAAGTTAATTTTGTCACTCCGGATGTAACTAAATGAAATGAAAAATTACTTTATTATTATATGGCCGCTGTACAGAAATATGGGTAATGTGACTGTAGCACAGAGATGGACAAATACCAGTGTAGCAGCACAGCGACCGTAATAGACCTGAAAGTCTCCCATGCATCAAATGAACTTCTTTGTTGGAAATTTGGTTTCGGATCACTCTTCAGAGTTTGGATATTAACAACTAAGACACCCTTTATATAAAATTGGTTCTCTGATTTCAGTCTATATGCACATTTTGTGTATTATTTCTTATCATATTGATTTTGTATTATGACAAATTATGGACATAATATAAATCAATCAATTTAGACCTTCCTTCATGTTTCCATCGTTGATTTTCAAGTCAAAAACTAAAATTATAAGGCTATTGTTCTCTACTGGGTGCCGCGGGAATAATATTCCACTTCTATATTTAATGTCAATATTTATCTAATTGGTGAATGGAAATTCGAAAAATGCATAACTATGAGTTTCTTATAGCTCAAAATTGAAGTCAATCAAATCTACGATGATATCTCGGAAAAATTGTATTTGTTCTATATATGTATTGCACTAAAATGGGCTCAGCAAAAAGAGTTTTGAGAACCGCTAATTTAAGGAGCACATTTATTTATTTTATATAAAAAATCGTAGAACGAGTAAATTGGTCACAGTCTAAAATTGATCATATATTAGCAGTTGTTCAGTGCACGATTCATTTTTGTTATTGCAACTTGTGGTTTAATGTGAAAAATTCATAAAAACCTACATTCAGCTATATTAAATATAGTTTAAATACCTTGGATACATCAACTTTAATAATAAAAATAATAACTAGTACTGTTTTATTTACTTTCGTGTCTGGATGGTTACTGGACATCTGTGTTGTTCTTGAAAGAATTATTTTTATGGAAGATATTTTTTTTCTGATTAATATAATAGCAAAGTCTTAATCGTTTTGAAGGGAGACCAGAGGTTATGGAGTGTGAGTGTGCTCTCTGAACACTAATATAAATTTCCTAAATTGTGACAGATTGTAATATTTCTTAATGAATAGGTTTTAAAAAAAATATGATAGCGGAATTTATAATAAATATTATAAACGACTATTATACGAAAGTTGATGTAAAAATAACGTATATGTAACTGCATTCCATTTCGCGTATTTTCGGAAGAGTCTCAACGTTGTCCTCCTTTTTCCATTACCCAATATATCTTTCTATTTTTAATATGTAGTAGTTTTTAGTTTGTGGTTTGTTTATAGAATGAACGTTATTTTTCTAATTCTTATTTTTTTTTTTCATTAAAAAAGTTCTGTCGATCCAAATTTCAATAGTCGGTAAAATTGTCTTAACAATCCAATATATCGAATGAAATTGCAAAAATATTGGGACAAAATTTCATTTCTGTTTTGTTCTCTCCAATACGAAATTGATCTATATATATTTTTCTAATTGTACATTATTTCATTATATTTTTATTATAATTTATAATACAACACAATCCCGATAATTCGTAACGCTGAGGGACCAAAGTTTAATTTCGAATTATCTAGGTTTTCGATAGAGTGGGATTATGAATTATCTTTTGTTAAAACTCTGAAAATTCAAATTAAAGTGATTATCAGTTTTTATTGAAACTAGTTGGGCCCGTGCGAATAATTCGCGCAATATTAGTCAGTGATCGAATGACAAAATAATAAGAAATGAAAATAAAGCAACGTACCATTAGATGTAAAAATCAATTATTATTTTCTCGGTAATTATAATTGACTAATAAAATAAAAATAAATTAAAAACTTTATTAATGCTTTAATTCAAAATGTTAATAAGTTACTTTAAGCTGTATCTTTACGATTTCGATTTATTTGTTCTTTTTTAGGGGATTTAGTCATCTTCTAAGTAATCATGTGTGTTATCAACAAAAAAGTATATTCTTTTTGTGTTATTTGATTTTTTTTGCAAATAAAGTTCTCCTCTTTCGATCACAGGGACTTCAAGTCGACGACATGAGGCATCTATCGCAAGGCGTGAGGTTGTGTGGCTGCGAAACCGTTTTGCCTTTGCATTATCTCGAAAACGGTACATTTTTGGGCTTGAAAAGACAAGGGCCGGTAGCTCCGAGTAGGAATGAAATATGGATTGTCGATATTATATGCATTATTGAAATATAATTATCAGTATTAATATAGATTTTCTAGCACATAAGCGTATCAAAAAATATGTCATTTTCCTTAAATTAAATTAATTAATGAAATTATCAATTCTTCGAACCTCCTTAATAAAATTTATTTTCTAATTCCTTTCCATTTTCACCATCCTCAGCTTTTTTTTCTCCAGAAATTTCCATTAAACCAATTATGCCTTCTATATAACCATAGATGGGATTCAGCGAAATTTATTTCCATCCTACATAGATTTCTTTGACAATTCGTAGCTTTGGTTTGAAATGGTTCTAACAAATTTGGGCAAATTGAGTTCATTGAGTGAGAAGGGTCCCATGCGCGCTGTTCAACTCTACTTAGAGTAGATGTTATTGGAATATAGATATTTTTCTCTATTACGTACTACATTCTATATAAAACATGCTCGATAATGTTGTTTTTAACTATAAGATTCGTGTATTATTCCTAGTGCTTTCGGAAAACGATAGTTATAATTTTAATTTTTAAACTAAAATTTCGAAGGTACGATATTTAATATCGAAAAGAAAACATCGATATTTTTATATCACTATCGATGGCCATCCCTAATTCCGAGGGCACTAGCCCGGTCTTGATGCTTACATCAATATCTTCAAATACTAATTTGTCCCGTTTCGATCCGTTGACTGTCCCCAATATTGCGCCTTCATTTATTTTACAAATAAAAACTAAAGTTGCGAATGCTAACCACTGAAAAACCATGATTTTCTTTTTATTAAAACATGACTCTATGTCGATAAAATTACTATATCTTACTAGTATTGGTTTTAAATTTTAGTAACTGTTTGAGTAGAATATGTTTTCATAATCTTCGCAATTTAAACTATATTCTCGAATATATATTTTCTCACCTTTTCGGATTTCTTAATATTAAGGAAGGTGGCACCCCCTCTCCCCTCCCCTCCTGTAGAGACGTAATATTAAGATTTTGAATATCATAAATTTATGGTAAATGCTTATGTGTTATACTGGGGTGTTATATTAGACCTCATCAGGATTCAATATGGTAGGGGTTTTCTTCTTTTATACGGCGTATACCTTCCTTCTTGGTTGGAAATATTACTTCATTCACCCTTCCTCTTCCCCCTACGTTTTCATATCACCATATCTCAAGATAGTGATATTGAGATCCCATAATGATTGTATGGAGATTAATCCATTAAAACAGATTAGCTCTATCATTGATTTATATTAGGTTTGTAAATAAATGAATTACAATGAGCTCGGTCAAATTAATATTTGTGTTACATAGGGGTATTTAAATATGTAAGATATTAAGATTGTATGTAATATATCATGTTTTTAGTGCGTTGCTAGAGTCAAAAATAATAATAAGAAACTAAATTTGCAGCTTATTTTAATGGTTACTAAATAACTCTAAAACTAAAGGCAAAGGCCTGACAGAAAAGTTTGTAAAATGGTTTAAGTCGATAACTACAATTTAAAACCAAAATGAGCTTTCTAAAATCATTTTTTTAAACACTAAGCTTGTAAAAAATTGAACAATTTCCTCCCAAAAAATTGTGTACGTTTCTTAATTTATGAAATAAACATAGAAAATATAATTTGTAAGAGCCATGGAAATGGGATTTGAATATTCAGCCTCATTGATTTTCTTAAACATTTCATATAACTTAAAACATTGAAAATTGGGTGTAGATTTTATGAGAAATATGGAGAAAAACAAAATGTTCAAATTATAGTTATTAAATTACAATTAAATGAGTACCAGTGTATAAAATGCAAATAGTTGTACGGAACTTTAAGTTTGTTTTAAATCGTTCTTGCAACTTAAAATGCTCACCAGCATGTTTAACAATTGTTGTCATCTGAAAATATATGACCTATAGAATATAGTTATACTATAAATACTCTTAATTCATCATTTTAGATTTTGTTGAAATAGAGCCGTAATACTGACGATTTGTTTATAATGAATGGCATTGTTACCAAGTAATAAATAACCATTGTTGTATTTATTTTATTTTTATTTTATCCAAATGTTGCTAACTCTGAAAGACTAGTTTATATCAAAATTCCAAATTTGCATCATTAAGTAAAAATTATGATTTATTTTTTTATTATAAAAAATTGATGTGAAATAATTAAATTGCAAAACAAAGTACAGGTGCAATCTAAAAGGTTCAATAAATCATAAAGATTGAAAGAAAAAGCTTCATGATAACTATTTCGTAAACAGACATTGTTACAAGATCTGTTATCATTGTATAAACCTTAATTATCTATTAATAAAAAAACTTAAGTGTTAAATCATTAATGCTGTCAAAGATGACTTTTCTAATGTAATTCTGTTTTCTCTGTTTGTCATTATTTGTTTGTAATTTGTAAAAGAAAATGATTTTATTTGTTTTTATCACACTTTTAACTTTTAAGAACTATGACTATACATGATCAAGCATTTTATACACAATATCCTTGTCAGGTATGAATACATATCATCACTGTATTCAATTATTGTTAATGTAGTCTTAATTCGTACCTAAACAATATTATATGATTCACTTAAGAACAAAAATTGTAATTTATCATGTGTTGATTATCTAGATGAATTTTGTCTTCTACTTAATCATAATGGGTGTAATTTAACTAATATAATATTTTTTTTTCAGTACATCAATGGCGGTCGATTAGAGCAGATAATTCAAGACCGCAGTATAGCTCTGAGTTATTCCGTCCGAATGAAGTTGGCCCTAGATATTGCCAAAGGAATGGAATATCTTCATTCCAAAGGAGTCTTTCACCGGGATCTTACTTCGAAGGTAATTCATTATTATTTTATGTACAATGATCATTTTGTAGAATTACTGCTTACCCAGGCATGTTTTGTGAGCAAAATTATATAAATTGTCACAATTTGAAGTATTAGTTATTACATAAATGTATTAAATTTTATAATTTATTTATAAACAAAGAAAAATAAAACAAAATTGGCTAAATATCTTCAAAAAAATATTCAAGGAAATGTCTAAATTGATAAATAGCCAGCGAATTTTTTTTTTTAATTGATCTTTCTTGTTAAGAATTTTTAATAATTCTGTTATATGAAACAAAAGTTGTCACATGATTCGTATGAAAACTTTCCTATTTTAATGATTATAATTAATCTTATCATGATGATATTTGGAAAGGTAAAATATTACATGTACATGTGTTTAAATATGCATATAAAGTTAGTATCAATGAACATTAAACCTAATGATACCTTTCTTTAACATCATTTGATATAGATGATTTGTCATCATAATTCCATGAGAAATATATATATATATATATATATATATATATTAAAAATTATTCTTAATAATTTCATTGTTCATTTATATTTGTTATTTGTAAGTAAATACTGAGTACTTATAATGATTCTTTTTTTATTTAATTATGGGTTGTTGTATTTATTTCAGAATATATTAGTACGGACGAATGAAGAGACTGGAGAGATGACCGCAGTAGTTGGTGACTTCGGCTTTGCTGCCAAAATACCAAGGTAAATTTCTCCCTCTTCCCATCCTTTCAAATCAATAGTAATAACCAGAGCTCAGATCTGAAAATCTAAATTTTCTTAAGAATAGATCTTAAAAACAAATTTTAGCGATCTATAAAAGATCTTAAATCACTAATTATAAATAGTATATAGTATATAGTGGTTTAAAAGTTGTTAAAAATGCAAAACATAAATGAAGGTAAGTAAAATGTTTACAAAAAATAGAATTATAATAATGAACAATAGTTAATTACAGAAAGAGTAAGTTCTTAGGAACTTACATAGAATATATAATTAATAACGAATAATTTACTTAAAAGGAAAAGCATCCCATACTATGTTGTCGGAGGTTCGGTAAAGGGGAGAAGCTTTTTTAATTTTATTTTTGTAGACAGTAAAACAATAAATTAAGTTATTGAATAAAATGAAATGCAGCTGTAAACAGCAGATATTTCTGTAAGTCAAAATAGGAAATTGAAAACTTCTTCAGATTCAAAACGCAGATGTTCTGTTCCCTTGGATATTACTAATGTTTTCTTGAAAGATATTCAGATATTACTAGAGCTTTACTCGTTTTTTTTGTGTTTTGTTTTTATTAATTTGAAATATTTTATATGATAAGATATTTAGTTTAGTATCAAAACATATATAATAATTTGTGAATATTTTCAATTAATCTATGAATGAAGACCCAAGAATATATTTTTTTGTGCAATTGCAAAATAGATTATGAAAGATCCTTTAGGATTTTGTATTTTAAATCAAGATTGGTTGAGAATCAAAAGCTGTTGAAAATTTTAAAAAAAGAAAAAAAAAGGACAAATCCTTAAAAGTCTAAGCTCTAATAATAACTAAAAGACAGTTTTTGTTTTATTGGATGGGATAAAAACTTGCTATTGTGTGAAAGATTTTTAAAGAGATTATATGAGAAACATGTTATATTTTATTTAAAATATACAAATGCATTAATTATATATTCTGTTGATTCTAACAATCGATATTTAAATTTCCTAATGCGTGTTATGTTTTATTTAGGTGTGGATACCGACTTGCTACGGTTGGTTCTGCCTACTGGATGTCTCCTGAATGCTTAAAGGGAGAATTCTATGATGAATTGTCTGACGTCTTTTCCTACGGTATTGTTCTGTGCGAGCTGATAGGAAGGTGTGAGGCTGACCCTGATGTTCTTCCGAGGACGGAATCGTTCGGGCTGGACTATATTGCTTTCACACGATTATGTGTTGCAGACCCTCCTCCACCAGCCTTTTTGAGGCTAGCCTTCACCTGTTGTTCTGTAATTATTATTTTTTTAAAAATCTTTTAGCTAAATTTATTTTGAGAGGAGGGTATCTCATTGATTATAGCACTGTGCTCCTATCTCCTGGACCCTGGTTCAAGTCCTGCTATAACAGGTAATTATTTATTTTATTACATCTGCCATGGATTTACCATGGGTCGGGAGACATCAGAGCACACTCTGTCTTTGTATAAAGTGGGTACCCATAATTAAGGGGAAAACAAACTGGTAGTGATGTGTGATCGTGACCAGATCACCTCCTTGCACAACCGTTGGCATAGAAATAGAAGTTCTTTAATGAATACGGAATAAAATACCCTTCATGGGTTGTAGGTAGTACAGATTATTTTTTTTAAAAAAACGTATTAGCTCATTAAGTTTCATCTGTTTATATTTATATTCAATTTTAGAAAAGTTATGTTGAATTTTAAGAATTTTATGTTCATGAAAAGTTTTTCTAATAAAAATGTAAGGTTCCTGAAAATAGTTATAAATTGATTTTTTATTGTTTGTTGAGAATGTGAATATTTAATTTTAATACTCCTGTTTTTAATTTTTCAGTATGATCCTAGCAAGAGGCCGAGTTTCACGGAAATAGTTACTACTCTTGAAAGCATCATATGGAATTCGAAAAACCCTTCATCGAAAGAGAACAACTGCCATGCAATGTGTGAGCATCCTTTACAATTTTTGTCGATGAATAAATTATGTTTTGTTTTGCTCTTTTATTTAATTAGCACTATTCTTCTTCTTTATTAATAAGCTTTCCTTTTAAATTTAATGTAAATAATATTACACTTTTTTTTTTTCATACTTTGAAAATTATCATTTTAAACTCACTTCAAACCGAAATTTATAGAATGGTACATTTATTACCTATACTTCAATTTCAGCTTCATTTATTTGTTCATTAACTATTTAAACTTATAGTTAAGCTGTATAGTTGTTTGGACAGTGCTGTTATATAAATGCTTGAGCAATAAAAAAATTACTAACATCATAGCATGTCTTTTTATTCTTATAAAATGTACTTTTATGTCGTGTTTTATTTTTTTAATTATTCATAGTGGACTGAACATTTTGTTGGTTTGATATAGTAATGATGATGTTACCTATAAGATCCATGGTTCCTGGACAAAGTACTATATTTTATTTAACTGACTATTGTACATAGGATTGAAACACAAAAATTATTATATTTAAAAATGAATACCAAAATAACTGGAATATATATAAATAGTGGTGTAACCAACAAGGAGCCCTTAAATACAGTAGAACCTCGATTATGCAAGATTTTTGGAGATAAATGCACCCAGGGTGATACATTTTTTTAGGTCATTCTAAGAGAAAAAATTAAACTATACCGATCAAATGAAGTTACTTTTAAACAATTTAATGTTTATTATATTGTGAATTATTTTCATAATTTTTTTTTAGAGGAAAATGTTTTTGTTGCAGAAGTTTTTTTGTTTTTTTTTCTTACAGAAATACATTAAATTGATAAATAGAGATAAATAACTCATGTCCTGATAATAAGAAAGTAGAAAGAGTAGTATTATTTTAAGCAGGGTGTCTGCGGGATCTGGAAAACCCAAAAGACATTAAATGTTCAGGAAATTTCATGAAAAAGTACCCAAAATCAACACGCTTTACAAGATAGGGGACATAAATGTGGGCGAGTGGCCGAACGGGCTAACGTGTGTGCACAGCACCGCCGTTGCCTGGCAACCTGACACAAATGACAGACACAATGATAAAATATAGTTACGAGTTCACATCCCGGTGCCGGAGGCGTCTTTTAAATCCCCGCCCACACTCCCTGGCTCAGGAAAACCCAGTATAGCCTTGAAGGCGAGGAAGGGAAGGATCCAAAAAAAAACAACTTTTTATGCCTACTGTTTATGCCTGTTTACTTGTGACTAGTGATTTATACACAAGATTATTCAAACGCATTAGGATGGTGTCTAGATTTTAGTATCAGTAAAATCGAAAAACTGATTTTATTTTATTTTTTTGTAACTATATTGTTAAAACTATATATTAAGAAATTATTATTAATTTTCTGTAACATTAATGGTAATTTGTTTGTCTTTAAATAAATTTAAAATTCAGTATTACAGATGATATTTCTATCGCTTTTAGTTTCAAAGAGGTTGCTTTGATATTTTTATTTATATGCCAAAGAAAGATTGTTTAAGTTTGTTAGGTATCTTGCAAACTTATTTATCATAAAAAGCTGTAAGGGCCTCCAATTTTGTGCTTTACAGTATTTAAAATATTAATTTTCTTACCAATCATATAAATTTATTATTGATAAAGATCAATTGTGCCCTTTACAACTATTTCGATGACCTGGGATTTTTATAAAAATTACCTTGGAAACCAGAAAAATACATGAAATTTTCTAAAAGGTTTCAGTAGACATCCTGATTAAGTAATATATTTCTATAATTCATGTATCTTGATTTATATTGAAAAGTCTTGCTTTATTACGTTTTGTTTAAATCCTGAGAATCTTCAACAAGTACTAACTAATGGTCGCTGTGACATAACTTAAATAATTAATTTTCTTAACTTATATTTCTGTTATTCCGTTAGTCTATATGATAAATATAGATTTAATGTTTTATGTCTCATTTAGATCAAGATCAAGATTTCGGGATTTACATGGTATTAATTTTAGCATGAAGACTGAACACCCTTAATAAAATTTATTTCAAAATTATTATGAAGTAATTTTTATTAATAAAATGTTTTACTTTACATTTATATTATTTATTAATTAGCTTCTACTTTTAAGCATAACTGTGATTGGACTCTATATTATTGAATTGGTATTAAATGATTTTCCATTTATTTTATCTTAAAAAGTATGGAAATTAAAAAAAAGAAAATTTAGGATATAACATATTAATGTAATTAAATTAATTACATGAATAAATAATGACTAAAATAATAAAATTAAATTATGTTAATTATGAAGTAAATGAAATATAAAAAAACATGATTTTTGAAAACATATACCGGCCCACACATATGTGTGTATAAAAATCATATCGAAAAGAGGCAAAGAAAATTTTCACACTCAATAGTCATTTTACAACCACTAGTTATAGCTTACATATTTCTAAAATGCATTTTAGTTTTTTACTATAAATATTTTGTTATTTATTTGTTTAATAAAAATTGTTTCTATATTGCAAAGTTGTTTAATTAATGTTTATACTAAAATTATAGTTAATTGACTGTTATTTATAGGTTAAGGTATTTTTTAAATAGAATTCCTCCATAATCGGTCTATTTGTTTAATCTTCATGCCTTGATCTCTGTAGAGACAGTTAATCAAAGTTTAACTGTATCTTTATGCAGTATTTCTCAAATGAGTTTTTTTTTGGTGGTATGCCATATGACCGTTGAATTTGTACTCTTTGTACAAAACTTATGATTGAGCCATCGTTAGATTAATAAGTAAATATTCCTGAAACAGGAAGAAAAAGTGATGAAGAATACTTTATTTGCATATAGCTAAAAAAGTATACAATTTATGGTTGATTATTTAGGTGATAGTTTGAAAGATCAAATCAATCAAATTGTCTACAAAGCAAATATATATATGTGTATATCTAAAGTCGGACTAAAGATACTCACTATTGGATTTAGTACTCATATTTGGGTTTATATTTTTATTTATGAGATTTTGTGAACAACCAAAAAAAAAAACAAATTGATTCCCTTCCTCAAACTTTATTGCATTTACGTTTTTCCTAGTTATATTACCATTTGGTTAGTTATCAATATCCCATGCGAATTGTTCATATGGGCCGACTATCTAATTAAATTATTATAAAATTGAAGCTTTTATTTTAATTCCAATTAAAAAAAAAGAAACAGTATATATTTATTGAGAATTGATCTTGATGAATAAAAAAATAATGTTTTTACATTGGTTTTTCTTTAGAATAGATTTTCTTATATTCTTAATATTTTATGTAGGCTAATAGTGAACATAAATAAATTACATTTTTATTGTTGAATGATATATTTTATTTAATCATATAATATTAAGGAAATAGTTTATATCGTTTCAAATGGTTACTAAAAAGTTTCATAAAACAGAGCTCTAAAAGAATTAATATTTTTAAAAAATTGGGTGAACAAACCATGCTGAGATATAACCAGCTTCAGCTTCCATAATGCATACATTTTTTTAAACTATTCGTTCAAAACATCATTTTTGTATTCTTCAGTTTAGTTTGATAATGTATTTAGTAGGAGTCCCAAAATTCGTTCTAATGCCATTGAAAAAATCAAGTATATTTTTTATTCTATTTATCAAGGACTTTTTGATAAAAAATATTTTTTGTGTTTCCATTTGTTTTTACATAATAAATCAACTACCAATAAAGTCTGACCTGTGAGTAGGCTATATACAATTGTCCATGTGAGAAGCATGGACTTCCAAAATTTCCACTCTTTTTTAGCGACTGTTCTTATGCTTTGTTGATGGTCATTGAAAATTTTATTCACATAGAAACAGCAAAAGTTTGAATCCTAATGACATATTTGTCAGAATCATCGAGATTCATAGCAACAATACATCTCAAAAAAATATTTGTAATCTTTCAACACAAATAATATTATTTTATTAGGTTTGTTCATGAAGTAAATAAAACGTAGTGAATAAAAAAATGTGGTTTTTATTGTAAATCATTTTTAGAAATATTCATAATTCTAAACCCTATTTTCTGCTCATATAATTTATTTAGATGATCTATTTCAATTTTTAGATTTTTATTAATTCTATGATGATAAATTAATTTATCTGTGACAATTTACAATAACCATGATAATCTATGATTTGATTAACATTTTTAAATATTCTTTTTTCGAACTCTAAAAGCAATAATTTTCTGAAGAATATATAGAAATTTTATTTTGTCAGTTACAAAGTGCACTAATTTCTACCATCTCCTTCTTTCTCCTGATTAATCGAGGTTTTACTGTACACTGTTTTTAATCATTTGAAATCGGAAAGGACATATTGCAGGTTATTCCTTATCGAGGGATAGAGAGAGCAATTGTCTTATTGTTGATTTGAATCAATTTAGAAATTCAAGGTTTGGTGTGCAGGCCGTTCCTGTCATATTTGAAGTTGCTGTCTTGTGGAAGTTTGGTGTTACGGGATTGGATCAGATTCATATACGACAAGATTATTTGGTAAGGCAGGTCTCTATTTTATCTGAAGCGAAGCATTGAGGCATTGATATCTGATGGATGCTGAGGTTTTCTTTCATTAAGTAGCTAATAGCTTAACAGTATTCACGTTGTTTAAACACTTCTTTCGTTGATCAATGTGTTGTGTTGCACTTGTTATTTGTCGCTGCACTTTTGCCTAAAGATGAAGAACACCTTCAAAAAGTTTTAAAAAATTGCTTATTTGTTTTTTATCTATACTTTTAAAGGCATAAGTTATTTCAAAATTTATTGTAGTCAAGCTTCATTTTTTATTCACTTAAGAAATAAAAGCTTTCTTTCTTTAGCAATTTTTTGTTGTTGTATTTTAAGAATTTTGGGTAGTGACTGCTTTCAAAACCAAATTTTCAGCTTCAAAATCATGAAATGAAATTTACAGAGTGAACACTAAACAAATTTTTGCTATTGCTTACATGT